ATAATATAGTATTCTGATTCAATTGGTTTTTTATATGCTTTGAACACATTAAGCTTTCTTCCATAATTAAATTTTCTACATACATTTTATGTATATGTGCACATATATATTATATTTATTTAAATGCTTGTGACAATAATAAATAGTAATAATAATAACTAACAACCAACCTGATTATTTGATATTCATCATCATTAATAATAATATTATTATTAACATTGTTATTATCCTTTTTATTGTCATAACTACCTGGTTCATTGTAATAAACGTTGTGTTTGATGAAATTATTATAATCTGGTGATAAAGCGGAAGGTTGTGAATAATTCATATTTTAAATTAATAAATATTTATTTGTTAAGATGAATTTAAAAAAAAACCAAAAAGATGATACAAAATCGAGAATTCGGAAATTTAACACTAGTACTAAAACAAAAAAATACTTTATTCAAGTTTCACAGAACTTTTTTAGACAAAGTAATTGATAGATAACGAAATTCCCAAACTCTATTGTATATATATATATATCAAAGTTGATCTTTACCTTTCGTAATCTTTTTAGTGAAATTTTTTGTTACACGAAATGTTATACTTCACCAATATATAATTGTTACCTTTCTAAATTGGAAATCAAGTTCAGATCCAATTCAAATCCAGTTTATCACTTGAAATGTTTGTAAAGTTACGTTGCACGATATAAAAAATTAATGTAACATTTCAAATTTCCACTATGCTCTAAAAAGGATCTTTTTTTATTAACATGTCTTAAAAGAAATATTTTGTAGAACCGTAAATGGTTTGTTCGCACACACAATTACATTATTTGGCATTTTAAATAATATTAATATTTCATTCTCAAAATCGATTGCCCCTGATAATCACAATAACTATTAATATAGATGATTTTGACGTGACGTGATAGAAAATTGATCGGCAAATGTAAGAATAATCCTTAATATTAAGTATATACTACGAATAAATAAACGCTTTTTTCATACCCGCTATATAGTAATTTTGTGTATAAATAATGATGCTGAGATGGTCAAACGATTTGTTTTGTTGTTGATGATAATATTGATGTGAACCGGATTAATACTTGGTTGTTATTATTATTAGTAGAAGAAGCTGTCTTTTGTCGTTGTTGTTGTTGTTCATCATTATTGGTAGAAACTAATTTTCTGATTCCTTTTAAACAGCCAATAAAAATTAGGTTTGATCGTGATTCAAGGTTGCTTTTGTCCAATATAACAATAGAGAAAGAGAGATGGAAAAAAAATTAATAAAAGAGAAGCTTTATAGAAAGGCCCAGTATAAGTAGGGCGAGTGAAATGTAGTCTTTTTTTTTCGGGATAGTATATTTTTAGAAATCTTTATTTTGCTCAGAATTCATTCATTTTGTCAAATATGCCGAAAAATTTTTTTTGCGGATTATCTATATTTATTTACACCAAACATAATAGTCAAAAAATTAAAAATTTTATTATCCCAATCACGTTTACTTATATTAAATGTAGTATATAATATACCGAATACTTGAATATAAAAATAAAAAATAAAAAAAATAAAAAAATGTTTGACTCGAGAATTGACCACAATAGCAAATTTTAACATCCTTTGTGGTGTAAGTAAAAAATATGTCTCATGTTTAAATCGACCGCAAATGATATCGAAAACATTTCTGAGCCTAGTTGTTTTCAGAGTTTGCCATATCATTTCTCAATTTATTGACAAAAACACTGAACGGATTGAATTTTGAAAATCGTTAAAAAAATTGTAAAATTTTAAATTGCAATGTAAAGCTACCTTTTATTAATGAATTAAGTGAAGAAGAAGATGGCGGTAGTGTATTTATCTTTCAAGAAGATAATGTACAATGCATATGGAAAGGAGATAATAACAATATGGTTCTCTCCGTCCAAAGTCCATATCTCAATCTTATTGAAAATTTTGGTAGGTTAATCAAAAATAAGACTGAATTATTTAATTTATTGAAAGAGGAATGGTTTAGTACTAGTCTAGAAAAAATTAATAATAATAAATTAATAGATAGTATGTCACGAAGGGTTGATACTATTTAAAAAAGTAGAGGAAACCCAACAGGTATTGATTTTGTTTTAATAAAATACAATTAATTTAAAATAGTTTCATATATTTTTTGATGCCTTTTATGTTTCAAATTAGTGTTGCTAGTTTAACATTAATGTTGACGCCAAAAAATTTTTTGAATAGGTTTTATGTGAATCAAAAGGAAACCTGACTTGGTTGGATTAGCCTAGCTATTGATTGACCTATAATGATAATGATAAATTTGTTTAGTTTGATTATTTATGCTGGCTATGAAATGTGAAATTTCTTGGCCCAATTTATTTATAAACCTTAAATTGACTAATTATAATTGAATTAACTTAATATGTTCAAGCCACCATTAAGCATTTTTAATCTATTTATAAAATTTTTTATTTATTATTATTACCATCAGGTTTTTTCCAAATTTGGATACTGTAATGACCAAAAATCTAGATTCATTGTTGTAAAAAATGTTTGGCTAAATTTTATGCAGGTCTTTTCATATATAATGCTTTTTTTATGGAGAAAAATAAATGGGTCAGTACAATTAGGGCTTCTATTCGTAATACAAATTCTTATTCGAGTTATTCGTAATACAGGTGACCTTTAATATTAATTCGAATTAAAAAGTTTATTCGAATTAAAAATTTAATTCGCTTTATTCAAATTATTTGTTTTATTTGTTTTATCTTGGGTTTGTTCATTCATTTTATTAGATTATTTGGAATCATGGGTTGTTCAATTACTTAAATATTCAAACTATATATACAACAAGGTTTAATATTGATTTTATTATTATAAAAATTGAAATTAAAAATGAAATTAATAAGGAAAGACTGAAATAAGATTCATGTTTCTTTTAATAAATAGCAATCTTTCCAGTAAGCTTGAATTTAAACTGGACCTTAATTATTTGTTTTATCCGAATTAATTTTTTCGAATTATTTGCTTTATTCAAATTAATATTAATATTAATATTAATTTCCTTATTTGAATTAATTTTCTTATTCGAATCAATTTTCTTATTCGAATTATTCGTTTTATTCGAATTAAAATTTATTCAAATAAACTTTTAATGTAATTCGAATACTCAAATTCATAACGAATAAAGTGAATAATTCGAATAAACCTTATTCGAATAGAAACCCTAAGTACAATGTGTGTATTTATAAATTGATCGACATGGGTTCCAGAATCGATTTCCAAATTTGGAACCTCCGACTGTATTACAATCATGCACGCTGTGCCACGTGACATTAAAGTTCAGAAATTTGGATCAAATGATGTGGTTTGTTATATATATATACATAAAATCAATATATTTTCTTTTTTGACAGTTTTTTTTGGTGGCAACTTGGTTGATTTCTTTAACAACAAAGAATTAATTATTAACTATTGTTTTCTTGGTGGTAATTTTTGCATTCCTTTAATGAAGAAGGTATTTTTAGGTAGTGATTTGGTTTATTCCTTTAACAAAGAATAATTGTTTTTTTTTGTGGTAACTGCTTATTCCTTTAATGATAAAGAAACTAATTGTCAAATTATTCTTTTTTTTAGGCGGTATCTTTAACAAAGGAATTGATTATCAATTATTCTTCTTACTTGTTGACGTTTTTAAAAAAAATTAGTTGATTCTTTCAAAAACAAAAGAAATTAGTTATCAATTATTCTTGTTTTGATGGTGACTTGTTTCTTAACAATAAAAAAAAAATTTCTTTTTGCAGTTGTAGCAAAGTATCTTCTTTACATGTATAAAAGAACTTTGTTTTGGCTTAGGGATGATATGTGTAATTGTTAAAGTTGTTACAGATAATATTTTTTTCATCTTTGTTTTATTTTAATATTTATTATTATTGATTCAGGTATTATAACAATTGAATTACCTACTGATGAAGTTATTGTTGAAGACATTCTCATTTTAGAAGGTGTTCATGTTGAAGAGGGAAGATGTGAGTGAAGAGAGCAAGGAAGAACCAGTCATATCTATAGAAGAAGGAATGAAAATGCTAAGAAATCCTTGGAGCAAGAATTTGCTACAGAAAAAGATGTTAAGTATGTTAAAGAGTTAATAAAATGTTTAAATAGTATTGAAGATAAGGCAAAACGTCAGTCTTTGTTGATAGAATTTTATTAATTTTATTGTTATATTAAATAAAAATTTTTTTATAAAAAATTGAAGTTATGTGAATTATCAATTGCTTTAATTATATCCCACCTTAGTTATATCCCACAAAAATCCCAAAACAAAAGGGGGGATATAAAAGAGGTATAACTGTATAATTTTCTGCATGATTTCAGTAACTAAAACATGTTTTACCATTAATTAAAACGCATCTTACCATTAACTAAAATATGTTTATTTCCATATTATTTCAGTATCAATTCAGTATTATTTCAGTATCAATTCAGTATTATTTCAGTATCAATTCTGTACTGGTTCTGTACTTTTGATGCTGCAACTGATATGGAAATTTGCATATTCCTGTACTTTTCATACATGTTGTTTATTATTTAAAATTCCATATTTTCCATATGGTTTATTGTGTATCTTTCTTTTTTATAGGGCAGGGAGAATTAGATAGTATGCCGCAAAGAGTAGATGCTGTTTTAAAAAATAAAGGAAACCCGACAAGATATTGATTTTTTTTTTTAATAAAGTACAATCAATTTAAAACAGATTCATATATTTTTTGATGTCTTTTATGTTTCAAATTGGTGAGCAGTTTGAGATTGAATCATTTCATAAAATTTTCTATGTTTTATTTTTTTTTTCTCATTAATTAATTTACCAAATGCTCTAGAATTTTAGAATTAACTAGATTTAAACATGGGACGAATTTTTCACTTATACCACAAAGGTCATTAGAACATGCCATTATGGTCAATTTTTGAGTTAAAGATTTTTTTGAAAATTCTGAAAAATTCATTTTTATTTTTAAGGTTCATAAAACAACAAGTTGTTGTTTATATGTGGCGAAACTTCAGTATGTTATATTTGTTTGATATGAAGATGAATTTTTACTTAATAAGCAAATGTGGTTAGGATAATAAAATTTTTATTTTTTCATGTTTCTTTATTCAATTATTTTTGATGATATGCAAGTGACCTTATATTTATTACCAGTGAGTTTTTTCGTTATGCAACAAAAAGGAATTTTTCTCTCACTCATGTATAAATAAAATGCATTTCTACTGAAGGTGCAGACATATTTTTGAACTATAACTCATAGTTATGACATGGCTATGTTGTAACTAGTGTTCCTATTGAACCAAACTGAACTGAACTTTGACCATGTTCAAGTTTGGTTCAACAAGGCTCAGTCCAGGTTAGGTTCAGTTCAGTAAAGCAAACAAGTTCAAGTTCAATCATATGATGTTATGAACTTTTGCAACTAGTACAAATTTGGAAATTCAAATTAAACAGTCAGGATTATTGCCGAATTTGGATTTTTTTTAAATTAATAAAATTGAAAAAAACTTTGTTTTTGTAATTTTTAGAACCTAAGCAACAATGAAATAGAGAGTTTTTTCAATTTTATTAATTATAAAAAAAGCCTTAGTGGTTTGAAGTTGCACAAAAATGAAATATGGCGCACGATGTTCTTTCCTATTTAGTAAAAGATATTCTAAACACGTGATCAAAACAAATTTCAGAAAACCGTCATCATTTTTTTGCATGTAAGTAAATCAACAAACAATACATTACTAACAAATTTACATTCTTCCAATTAAAAAAGACCAAGACGAAATAAGCAACTCCCCATTTAAAACAAATCAGATAACGAATTGAATAAAAATTTAGAATATGCATCAAGTGAAGAAAACTCAGATAAAAAAATTGATTATATGAATTATTCGTTTATGTGTTTATTCATATATTTATTTATTCGAATTATTTGTTTTATTTGAATTATGTGTTTATTTTATTCATTTATTCAAGTAAAAATTTATTTGGATATACTTTCAACGTAATTTGAATACTCAAACTCATAATGATTGAGTCATGCGATTTTATAATCCCGTAACACCAAAGAATATCATTGCTGTTTTGGGATTTGAAGATTTGGCAGTGCAATTCAGCATTTGATGTTCTTTAGATGGCACACACGATTGATATATAATGATAAAAAAACAATTGAATTGGGAAAATATTTTATTAAACCAAATAAAATAAAGGTAGAGTATCAAAAAGAAAAAAAAACAGCTAAATCACCATCATGTCTTCCATTTTTTTTGTCTGTATGCTTTATT